GTTCGACAAATACTTTTAAACGACTAAAAACTCTTTTAGAAAAAATATTTTTACATTCCAAAAGCACTTGAAGTGCTTCATGCTAAAAAGTACAAGTTATGTACATCTTGCTGGAAGCACTTCAAGTGTTTTTCCCGAATTAATTTGCATTTTACTAAAGTTTAGTTCCAAAAACATTTTATCTAAAAATATTTTCAATCTTTTAAAAGCACTTATGAAAAGTCCTCAAAAGAGTGAAAGTGATCCTTAATTTGTATGCAATGGTCCCATATGCATGGCAAGAAGGCGACCATGTCAAGTAGGTAGGTTTTGTGGCTGTGTCAAATCAACTTTGCAATTTTGGCTTCTTGTCCGCAAAGCAAGCCTTTGGAAGCCTCGTTCCTACATTATATATACTTCTCGGTTCTCACATCATGAAGAATTCTTCTTTCGCTGTACTTACCACCCTACTTTAATCAGTAGCACAATTATAATTTGCATCACGAACCAAATACCAAACAGCAAATAGGCGGCTTTCAAGTGGTTATCTGTTATCATCATGCAATTATACTACTGCCATTATTAGTAGCATAAGTTACCCACTCTTCCAAATCCACTTCATCAATAAAATCATGTCCCACCTTGTTGCTTTCAGGATTATAAACTAAGTGAACAGGGAAATTACTTTTTGGTATCAGATTTTTTCTTCTTCTTTGGTTTCGAATCAGCAAATAGGCTAGCCCTAGCATGGGAAAATTTCGCAATCATGGCACTGCCACAACGGTTGAGCCAGAATTCTTTGTGAGAGAGGGCTTTTCAGTATGTATTGAGAAAAAATTGCGAACTCGTAATATGAGCAATTGAAATAATCTTCACAAAATTAAAAGATCTGCTAAATTTAATAGAGAGAATCAAAGAAAATGTATAATACAACTAAGTAGGATGTAGAGACCAGGGTAACCAGTAAAAAATGTGAAACTATATGAACAAAAATACAAAGAAATCTGGTTTGAATCGTTTGACAAAAAAAAAAAAGAGGGCAAAGAGGAGGGTTGCAAATAATAGTTGATTAGGTTGCTTTAGAAATAACATTAAAGTCGATTTTAAAACCTTATTCTTGAGTTTCAAGAAACCACAAAGCCAAAGTAAACAAAACTGTTAGAAAAATATAAGCTATCATGTCGTTTGACTTAATTTCTTCACAAGAACAATTCATCTTCTTTTCATGTTGTTAGAAATTTTTTTACACAGTTGTTAGGATGGACCCGAAACTACTCTGGTCCCTTAGTGGACCGCCATGCACTGCCAGCTGCCACCATTCAGAGTTAACAAAAGAACAAAATTAGGGTTAGGGTTGTCGAATTAGGGTTAGGGTTTGCGAAAATGTGTAAACATAAGGTGCTATATACCTATAGTGTGAGTTTTTCTCTTTTTAGTATTATTCATGGGCGAGTACGTAGATAAAAGCATCGATCATGTAAGAAAAGCTGAGAGAGAAATCAGAAAGCAAAACAGCCACCTTGGTGGAACATGCGCTTCAAATAACTGCTTACCATATTCCCTCCTTATTTTTTTCTTGAAGAACAAAGTCCCACAGGTTTTAGGGGTTTTTGGCTATTTTGACGTGGCTTCTCAAACTAAAGAAAAGTAAATCATATTCATTGCATGTAAGAATAAATCTGATCTTTAAAGAATCGAGGAAGATGAAGTTATTGTCAACTTCTATAGTAAGTTTCTGCTCTCAATATACATAACACATAATTGGCTTAAGATTATTGATGCCCAATATGTATGTATAACAGTGTGAACTTACTTATAGAGCAAACCGAAGTTATTCACTCCCACTTATCTGGACAAACTTAACGATAATAATGTTAAGCTTCAATTAACAACAAATTTTCCTAACTTTCACTTACTCGAACACAATAAGTCATAAATTAATAATTCAACAAATTGCTTAGTCGAAGTACAATTTGATTTACAAGCATCAAAATGAATTACAATTTCGCTAGAGACATGATCAATTGGGACAAAACAAAGCCAAAATTGTTTGATTCTACTTATCCACATAATGACTAACATGATCATCATTCAACCAATTGCTTAAACAAAAATCTTAAAAAGATCCATACACAACACCATGAATGATTATATAACAATTTCACAAATTCCCTTATCAAGTCAAAAGCGATTTAAAGCATCGATAAGATATTATAATTCAAAACTACCTAGCCTATATACCCTTAGACTTGTACTCACATTTGAACACTTGATTCTCCTGCTGACACATCCCGATTTGGATATCCACCAAAAGGGGTGTGTGATCCACACACCCCTAAATCAAAACCGAAACTTAAAACTATTGATGAAAGTGCTCAGTACGGATTGCAAATTGCAATTGTTATACTAATGGTGCAGTAAATATACGAAAAGTTTCCATCGCAAGTACGGAAAAATATTACACAAAACTACAAGAATTAAAAATTCTCACATTAATTGGACTGTACGTCAGAACTCCCCAAAATTTTGCTTGCCAAAGAAGTTTAGACCTCGTTTGGATGTGTTTTTGAAATGATTGAAAGCGCTTTTGGTGAAAATGTTTTTAGAACCAATCATTAGTAAAGATGCAAGTAAATTCTAGAAAAAGCACTTAAAGTGCTTCCTAGAAGAATCACATAACTGATGCTTATTGCAAAAAGCACTTTTAGTGCTTCCTAGAAGAATCACATAACTGATGCTTCTTGCAAAAAGCACTTTTAGTGCTTTCTAGAAGAATCACATAACTGATGCTTCTTGCAGAAAGCACTTTTAGTGCTTTCGAAACCCAAAAATGTTTTCTCTAAAAGCGCATTCAATCATTTTAAAAGCACATCTAAACAAGCTCTTAGCTACTAAGTCTTGAAGGAACGCAATACAGAAAGTGTAAGCGAGAAAAAATAAGTGTAATAAAACTTTTGTTTTTATCAACATAATATAAAACCAAGTAAAAAAGATAAATAATTTTTTTTAATTAATAAGGGTATTAAGGAATTGAAAATATATATTAAAGGTTCAACTCAACTTTTTATGAAAATAACTTTTAAAAGCAACATTCATGCTACTTTCAAAGATAATGTATGGAGGCTACTGCTTTTAAAATAAGCAAGATATTTTGTTTTTACTAGACATTTTTTTAATGCTTAGCTTTAAAGTGAAATAGCTTTTGATGAAAAAACAATATCAAACAAGACTTTAGTTATAAGTGTTTTTAGTTATTAGAAAACACTTCCTAATATTCAAACAAACCAAATACTCGTTTATGCATTCGAGTTCATGCATTCATTCTTTTATCTTTAGTAAGTAAAGAATGACTATACTTTAACACGCACATTACTGGTTGATATTCATGTTTACAAAGGAGTCGAGTTTTTTTGTTGGATTTTCTCCACTTAAAAATGCATAGAATATTTGTCCATGTATTTCCTTAATACAAATCAATGACATTCGTGTGCACAAATTAATATGGATTTATGAAACATTGGTGCAATTGTAGGTATTCACAAACTCCTACATTCTCCTCGTTTGGGTTCAAAATCTGCTACCTTCGGCATTACAACTGCCACCAAATCTCTCTGAAGTTCTGAACCCACATTCACTTGTACAATACCTTCTCTACCCTTCTCCAGTCCTGCTTGTGTGTAGACCAACGTACAACTTGGTCGCTTCTCTTTTCGCCACATCACTCCTAATGAAGGCCATTATCGTCATCCTGCTATTCTCGCAACGCTCAAACCTAATACCACCCGTAAGAAAAGGATGCATCACTTGCACTCTTACAAGGACCCAAAATCATCACTAAAATCTAACCACAATCTTATAATGATAAAGTGTTTTTGAAATTGAATATATCATAACGTATATGAGTAGTTACGTAAACATTTATGTAGCACAAAAGAAAAAACGGAACACAAAACCTAGACTACAATTACATTCAGTTCAAATTTGGCTGAAGACATTACACCTCGCCAATTTCCAGCAATGGAACTTTTGGAAAATAACAAATAAAACTCATTCAAGAAAGAAAAGTTATACTTATATGGCTGGTCTACACTACTTATATAAAAAATGAAAATCAAAACTAGTGCTGCAATCTTAGTCTTACAACAAAACGCTTTTAAAAACAACATACGAGGAGGACACATCTAATTAGTGGCTTGTTTAACCTTGTTTATAAAAAGAAAAACGTTGAGTAACTTTCCACATTGGTCATGTGTTAGAGTAAATATAGAAATATAGAGAATAATCTGAATAATGATTTTGAGGTACAACTTGAATCGTTTCCTTAAAGTGTTATTTGCCCCCACTCGAATGAGTTTGCTAAAGTGTTCTTGGCAAGTCACTTCCAGAATATAACAAAGTATGAAATATTCGATTAGCAAAACCGAATTGCATTCCCTTATAAATAAGTAGAAAGAAATTGTATGAATGTGATGGAGAGAAGAGAGAGCAAGGAATGTAAAAATAAATTTATGAAATTGTGTGTGAAACATTAAGCTACAATATAGGCATTAAAGTACTCGTTCATCGAGTCTTTTTATTTTAGTTGAAGATATACAACCTTCTTCATAGTGTTGACCCAAAAGACATATCTTCTATTTAAAATTTTCAGAAAATAAATTTTGATTATTTATATCTTTTAATTCTACTCATACAATTTGAGTAAGTATCATATTTTTTTAGCTAAAAATTGTAACAATTCAACTAATTACATTTGATGCGCACTGCAGCACCCTTTATCACGTAGTTTCAACATGTTCGCACTCAGTTGCATCAAATTCTAAAATTCTAGAAGATACATATTTTATTTTATTTTATTTTGCGAGTTTGATTTATTTGAGGGGTTTTTTGAAATGAGTCCAAAGTAACTAAAAATTGGACCTTTTTCAAAAGTCAAAAGTCACTAAAAATTGGACCTATTTCAAAAGATAGTCTATAAAATTGGACCTATTTCAAAATTTTCCATTATTTGATCGGTAGTACTCAATTTTTCACAGGTTTGACCAGTTGTGCTTTTTACAGACTCGGACACGCCCCACGGCCCCCACTCCACCCCCCTAAATTTTCTCTTTCCAGTGAATTTTCTCTCTCTTCTGTTCCCTCCCTCGCTCCTTCGTCCGGTCCGCTTCCCCTCCCGTCCCATTCTCCGACGCCCTTTCGTCCCTTCTCTTTTCTCTTTCACTCCCTAAATTCCTCTCTGAGGCCCTCCTCGTTTTTCAACCCGCCGTCGGTCTCTCCGCAACCAGCTTCCCAACAGTCCACGGCTTCGAGCTCAGTTTCTTCTTTGCTCGGAGTCAAAGATCAGAACTGGAGATCTTAGGGTTTCGGCAGATCTACGCCGTGTAGTGTAGAGAAAGAGAGAGCTGAGCAGTGGTGGTTGTGGTGGTGGTGACGTGGCCGTTGATGGTATTGCACGGAGGCGCGAGAGACAGTTGGAAGGTAGATGATGAACGGAGCTCCGGCGGGGGATCGGAGAGGGTGGTGGCGTTACGGTAATTTCTGTCACATGGAATGGCAGAGCTTGTTAGCTACGGGAATGCCAACCGTGACATCGACCAGGTCGGTCTCTTTCTCTCTAAATTCTCTTTGCCTCTTTTTTGTTTTTGCAAATGTATCAAAAAATACAAAGAAAATGAAATAAATTCCTAATTATTTGTCTGTTTAATTACTTAGAAAAGCAGAAGATTTGTTTTTTTTTCCTCCTCGAAAAAGTGGAAATTGGATGGAGAGCTCTTTATTTTTAGCTTGATACTTTTAAGTTTTGTAGGTATGTGAGGGAATTTTGATTTGGTAATTGAAAACAACTCTCTAGATATAATTACTGGGAACATAATCTTCAGGTATGTTAAAAATGTGAGGGAATTTTGATTTGGTAATTGACATACAACTTTTTAGATATAATTAGTGGGAACATATTCTTCTCAAGGTTTTGGTTTTGAGGATCACTTCTGGGTTCATCGTTTTTGGCTCAATGGATGCAGTATGGGTGCTTTTACAGAACCAAACAGGGCCAAAGTTTCGAACCTTTTTTAATTTTGTATTTTTCCCAAGTGCATTTTCCATTTCGGCAACTGGGTTTGCTCCGAGGCATATGTAAAGTATTGACATCTTCGAACGATAAATGTCTAGTCATTACTATATGCGGTATGGAGTTCAGGGTAACGTTATAATTAGAATAGCATTTGATATGGTCCTATGTTTAGTTCATACAGCGTTTATCCGCCCTTCATATCTTTCTCATGGTTTTGAATGATTAAATGATTTTCAGGCAATAATTGCTTTGAAGGAGGGTGCTCAACTACTGAAATATGGTCGTAAGGGAAAGCCTAAGTTTTGTCCATTTAGACTTTCTACTGTAAGTTTGTATCTAAAGCTTCTCTATCAGGATTTATTTTTTATTTTTAAAATATTGGTGGTTTGTCCACTCCATGGAAGGAAAAGAACATGGTGTGCTCCATTATTAAGGTTGAAATAAAAAATTTATTCCACAATTCCTGCATGAACAGATAGTAAAATTTGTAAAAGGATGAAGTCAAGAATGCTACGAAACATATTTAATTGAATTTCCTGCTTAGCAGTGGTAATGTAGTGCCAATTAGGTAATTTCTATCTTCTCCCACAAGCATACAATTTCCATTTGTGCTTATAACGGAAAAGATAAAATTTCTCAAGTTTCCCTTCTGCTAATTAAATTAATAACTGAAGGGGAAATCTGAGTTAATTTAGGTTCCGATCCATATGGCAGATTGGAACCAAAGGGTACAGTAGGCAGTTTGCCAGATTCTATGGCATATTTAATTTGGATGAGAGATTTGAGAACTTATTCGTAGTGTAGTTTGAGGTCAGTCAAGGCAAAATATGGTCTATAGTTCTTGGAGAAACATATCATTAATAGCTACGAAGGTTGATAGACTATACATTTCACCTTGTAAGGTATTGGAATATGTTAAATGTCAGTTGACATTAGTTGTGCTGCTACGTTGCTGCATAACCATGCTACTTTGTGTTTTGATGTATGCATTGTAAAATACTGCTAATGGGATAGCATTTCACTGGCCTTCTGTGGTAGATAGCATTTCAATGGCCTTCTATGGTTCTTGCTTGTGATTATATTTATTGTATTTTAATTCACAAATTTTGTCTGCTTAAATTCTTTCTATTTTCTACTTACTGCTGCATTTAATAATTTCAGGACGAATCAACTTTGATCTGGATTTCAAGTATCGAAAGAAGTTTGAAGTTGGCGTCTGTCACAAGAACTGTTCCTGGACAAAGAACTGTGAGCAATTTGATATAATTTTTTAGTACATGATTAGCATAGATTTACTGCAGTTTAAATTTAAGTCTTCTAGCGATGCTTATTCTAATTTCATCTTGCTCCAAAATTTGTTACAGGCTGTCTTTCAACGATATTTACGTCCTGAAAAGGAATATTTATCATTTTCTCTTCCATACAATAACGGAACGCGGTCTCTTGATCTGGTTAGTGGTGGAAGCTCAAAATTATTTGTCTTTACATTGTTTCCTATTTTTATTTATAATAACAATATTTATGATAGTCTGTCATTTGCGTCCAGATTTGCAAGGACAAAGTTGAGGCGCAAGTGTGGATTGCAGGCCTTAAATCACTAATTTCCTCTGGCAGAGGTGGGCGTTCGAAAATTGACGGATGGAGTGATGGAGGCCTCTACCTTGATGTAAATATGCCTACTTAGAACCTCTTTTGTGGTTAAATTTTATGTTTTCTCTTGTCTTGCAGTGATCTGTGTTATATAGGCATCAACATGCTGTATTGGAGCTTTTGCGCTAAATTTGAAATGCTAAATACTATGATAAGATTCTTTTATTATTTTATTTAAATTTTAGTATTTGATTCTTAAAGAAATTAAACTTCTCCTTGCATAGACATAGTGTTTTTGCATATTTAATATATATTTTTCTTTCCCTTTGTAATTTTTGGATTGGCTTTTTTTTGTAGACATTTTTTTATCTTATTTGTTATTACTTTATATGTTTAATATATATATATATATATATATATATATATATATTCTAAATGAGTTATCCAACCTTATAGTTCAGTTCATATGATTTTATCGTAGTCATCCAACCTCTTTATGGTGAAATCACATAGACTTTGGATGTATGAAAGTTTCTCTTACATTTCGATATGTATAAGTACACCTGTTGAATGACTGCCTGCTTATCATGTTTTCGGGTACTTCAGGATGGCAAGCACTTGACATCAAATTGTCCTAGTGATAGTTCTGCTAGTGGTGCACGAGATAGTGGCTCTCCAGATTTGAATTCAAACTGAAAGTATGTTCATAATCTTTTCAATGACAGGCACGAAAGGAGTACTTATTTGGGTAATTTGAGTAACTCGGAAAAGTGAAGAAATTACTTCTTCTACCGCCAAATCAATAAAAAAAGAAGCTTTTAGCTTGTGAAAAAAGATGAAGCATAGAAAAGTAGTGGGTCCCAACAGTATACAGACCGAAGTGTGGAAAATCTTGGGAGAGACATGTAAAACGTGGTTGGAAGCCTTCCAGCAAGTAGTTGGAAACCGTCCAGAAGAAATGAGGCCCCAAAAAACGAATAATTATTTTTGGTCCTAAATATAATGCAGCATGTTCACACTGACTTTTTTCAATCTGTTTCTGCAATTTCCTTGTCAATTAAGTCTGTTCGTGTTCATTTTGTGGATTTCTTGTTGGATTGATTCGTATTGTCCCACTTGGCTTCCCTACAACTTTAATTCTTTCTCTCTTCCAGTTCCATTATTTCCTTTCCCCAAAACCTCTCTTTTGGTCTGCACCTACTTTTGTGTGAGTATTTTCGTCGTGGTTTTTCGTTCACTTTTCATTTGCTTTGCAATGGCGATGAGCACCCAAAGAGCCTCTGCACCTCTTCTTTCTCTCGAATTAGCTCCTCGATGGAAGTACGATGTGTTTTTGAGTTTTAGGGGTGTAGACACCTGCAAGGGTTTTGTATCCCATTTATACCACGAATTGTGCAAGTTCCAAGGAATTAAAGTTAAAAAACCTCGAAATTTATTTTAAATTTCAATATTCTTAAAGGAATATGTAATCTAACACCAAATTTATTTTAAATTTCAATATTCTTAAAGGATTAAAGTTTAAAAACCCTGAAAAAAAATACCCATCTCTTCGTAGTCTATTCCTACTTTGGTGTGAGTGATTTTGGTGTGAAGTTATATTGGTTGAAATAAAATTTCTCATAAAATATTTTAGCATTGTGAGTTTCCAATGATAATTTTTGGTATACGGATGATCCTAGTAATTTTGCCTACTGTATTCAGTAATTTACAAGTAATCATCAACTCATATTCAAACTTTTCACTCACAAACGTGTGTTTGTTACATGATTATTTATTTATTTTTGTTATATATAAGGGGATTGAAAACTGTTCATTGATACTATTTAGTTTAAATTAATTCTCACAAACACATCGAGAGTGAGCTTCCTTGAAATTTCGTAACTATTAAGTCCAGTCTTCTTTCACGTGTTTTTGGTTGTCAAGTTTTGTCCTTTCATTTTGGTGTTGGCCAAGTTCAGCTCTTTATTGTGAATTACATGTTTTTTTTTAGTCTTTGTTTTGGCTCTGTAAACAATTGTTTATTTATTTATAGAGATACTTTCGTTCTCGACTGATCAAATAATTTATCGTTTCTTTACTTTCTTGGTTTGATTATGCAATTTAAATATTATTTGATTGTCCAAATAATTAAAAGAGAGGATTGGCGAAAAGAGACATAATCTTCTTTGGGAAAGCTGGTAAAACCAGGCCGAGGGTTTTCTGTTCCAATTATGTGTCTCCTCTACGTCTTATTCTTAGTTTTTTGACACTATTCTTTCACATAATTTTGAATTTAACAATGCTTTTTTTATGGATTGAAAAAAAAAAAAAAATTTCCAAAGCTGCGACATATATTTCATAAGGGTAATGCAATGGAGACTAAATTCGTATACTAAATTTACACACTAATTGATGTGTCACTAATATAAATAAGTATGTTTATCAACGTTAACTAATAAACCAATTATCAACTTCCATGTTCTTTAGTTTCCAAAACTTTGTCTACAAATTTAGGGGTGTATATTTTAGAGATATTAATGGATTTATAAATCCATGAAGTTTAAGGGAGTTTAATTTATTTGTAGAGATTCCATGAAATTTTTTGATTCAACTATCTCAAAATCTCAAGGGAAGAGGTGAGATTTGTGATGCATAAATTGTAATACGAAAGCTCTCAAATTCCCTCAAATTCCTTAACGTTTTAAAATTCTTTAAAATAAATTCATAATCGAATACACCTAGAATGCTATAAACTTCTTTGAAATCTTAATTGAATACAAATATTTTTAAGGATTTTAATATTATCTTAAAAATTTGATTGAATACACGTTAAATTTCAAAAAATCACTTAAAATCATGATTGAATACCCTTAGATTCATTAAAAACATTAAAACCTCAAATTCTCAATTGACTACATGAGTGCGCTTAGCCTCACAATGAACTAATAATAATATGGATCAAATTCTTTTTCGGCCAGAATCAAACTTAAAACATTTTATTTAGATAGTATTAAATAATTAACATTTAAAAGTTAACCCTTGATAATACCTCAGCCTCAACCAATTTTTCTCAATTATTTCATTGGTCATTTTCACTTTAAATTAATTCCACAAGTAAAAAACCGCTGCAGTCTTACCAAGCAAGTGGTTAGAAACCATCGAGGTAGTTGGAAAAATGGGGTAAGCCACCAATCCTGACTCTTTGGTACCATCTCTTGTTTTGTTTTTAGTGGGAAAAAGAAAAATCCCATCATAACCGACTGAATGAGAAGAGTAAGCCACCAATCCTGACTTTTTGGTGCAATTTCCATCTATTGTTTTGTTTTTAGTGGGAAAAAGAAAAATCCCATCATAACCGACTGAATGAGAAGAGTAAGCCACCAATCCTGACTTTTTGGTGCAATTTCCCCATCATAACCGACTGAATGAGAAGAGTA